ACGTCCCCTGAAGGAACTTCAGGCCATGCCCTCTTGTCTTGTTGCTAGTTGCCTGGAAAAAGAGCCTGACCCCACCTGACTACAACCTCCCTTCAGGTAGTTGAAGAGAGTGATAAGGTCACCTCTGAGTCTCTTCTTCTCCTAAACCATCTCCACCAACACCACATCCAAATGACCCTTAAACACATCCAGGGATGGTGACTCAACCACTTCCCTGGGCAGTCCATTCCAATGTCTGATCACTCTCTCCATGAGGAATTACTTCCTAATATCCAACCTAAACGTCCCCTGAAGGAACTTCAGGCCATGCCCTCTTGTCTTGTTGCTAGTTGCCTGGAAAAAGAGCCTGACCCCACCTGACTACAACCTCCCTTCAGGTAGTTGAAGAGAGTGATAAGGTCACCTCTGAGTCTCTTCTTCTCCAGGCTAAACAACCCCAGCTCCCTCTGCCTATCCCTGTAAGATTTTCCCTCTTGTAATCTCACTACAAGCCCTTGGAAAAAGCCCCTCCCCAGCTTTCCTCTAGCCCCTTCAGGCACTGGAAGGGGGAGCTCCCCCTAGAGCCTTATGTGAATACAAGTTGAATTTCTAAGTCACCTCCAGCTTTATTCCACATATCCAGACCTCCTAGTTTGCCTTTTGCTGGGGGATATAAGGTTCTTGCCAGGCCTCCTGATGGAACAGGGGAGGAAGGTTGTCTGGGATGTGGTGCAGCCTTCCAAGCTGCCATGAGGGAAAGTCATCCCTTTGCAAATATACTCCCTTTCCAGAAGCAGAACAGGAACTCTGTCTGCAGGTCTTCTTTTTCTTTTGCACCCTTCAGCACCCTTCAGAATAAGAAACCAGGTTTCTTTTTCTTCTTTTGTCCTGATCACATTCTTGCCAGGCATCCTTCTGACTTTCACTTTCAAGGGCTTGGCAGTCCTGTCCCTCTGGGGCCATGATATGACACTCTATTTTTGAAGATATTTTTCTTTTCCTATAAACAAGCCCTAAGCCCTCCTGGCTCGCTAGCATTTCCAACTTGTCCATGGCAACCTTGGCAACATGTTCAAAGATGGTTTTTGCAGGATCTTGAGTGGTGCTTTTGGTGTGGAGTGTAACAATTCCCAACACCCTTTTCAAACACGAGATGGCCTTTCTAAGAAGCTACAGAATATACCACCAACACCCACATCATACATGGCAGGAAAGCCTTGGAAACCAGGAAAACCATTGCCAGCTTGGGCTCTGTTAGTCTGTCTGCAAGGACAGGTCCCCATCATTTTTTTTGCTACCATTTCTTAAAATGTCAAGGTTAAAGAAACCTTTTGAGATGTCTCCAATCCCAGGCATGCACTTGTGCAGCCCATGCCACGTTTTGAAGAAGCAGTGACCTAATGGCAGAAGGGCTGCACCTGTATTTGGGGCAGTGGAAACCCCAGTGACAGAATATGGGCAAAGATTCTCAAGATCTTTTATAATTGTCACCTCAAATGAACTGTGTATGCCCGAGTGCTGGAGAAGCCCAGGCTTCTTCCTGTTTTCCATTACATTGCTAGTTCTTCCATGATGCACAAAGCTGCCAAAATCTCCCTCGTTCAGTGTTGGATCTTTGGAAAATGAGGTTAAAACTGAGATGAGATGCTATCTCTGCATCTGTTGTGGCCAGGACTCAGCACTTGGGCCATTTTCCATGCTGGGCTGCCTGGCAGGGCTCCTCCTGCAGCCCAGAGCTCTTATCTCAGCAGCAGCCAGCCAGCAGAGGCAGGAGACCAGCTTCAGCATTTTCTTCACTTGTGGAAATGAGCCCATTTCCTTGACAGTTGACAGTTACCCACAGGAATTTGGCTGGGACCATTTTAAATAACAAACCAGGAAGTCTGAGGATCTCTGTCGAAGAAAGCTTAGAGCAGAAGTGTCTAAGAGCCTGGCATAAGATCACAGCATCAACCCCCAAAATTACCCATCTCAGAAGACTGAATGTTCTGACCACAGTTATGAGGAACAGATATTTATAGGAGAACTGTAAGAAAGTGTAAAAATGAGGGTCATCCAATGGTTTCAGCCCCAAGCACAACAGCAAGTACCACCACGATCACATGGTGAGCTGTTGCCATGGCAACTGATAACATTTCCCATTAAGCTGCAATTAATTCCAGGCTCTAATCTGCCTAAGGAAACAGAATGTGTGAGGGTCCAGCAAGATAGCTGATGGCACACGTAGAGAAAGGAAATGGCTGAGCTGTGGGGATGATGGGAGTGGGAAGGAGCAGGAGCAGGTCCCTGTAAGAAAACCCTGTCCCAGGCTCCGTGTCACGAGCAGGAAATGCTCCCTGCCCTCCATTACCACCGGATCTCCCTACGTGGGTTTCCCTGCAGTGGGTCTGGGTGAACAATGCATGTGTGAGCAGCCTGCATCACTGCTCCTTCCCTGCTCCCGCAGCTGCGTCAGGGGCTCTCTTAGCTTAGGAACAAGAAGTATGAATTGGCTGCTCCCAGCCTGTCCTTGGCCTGGCCCCATCCTCACAGCCCTTGGGTGGTGGCAGTGGGACAGGGCTTGGTGGCAGCACACTCAGCTCCCTCAAGGGAGGAAAGACTGAGAAAAGATCATTGTGTATTGCCTGTTCCAGAGCTAGAGGAAAACAGACGTCACCAGTCTTCTGAGTGCTTCCTTGCAGTGAAGGGCTTCTGGAGGTGCATGCACAAATAGCAAACCTGCTGTCTTGGAGGTGGAAAATGCTAGATGGAAATCCAGCTTAGTATGCATACACTTCAGAGGGCACACCATGAGAAAGAGGAGGTTTTCTGGCACCTTACCCTAATCAAACCACTGAAGCTGAAGTCAATATCAAAATTGTCACCATCTTCCATGAGTTTCATGGTTTTTTTCCAGCCATTTTCACCTCAGAAGTGTTTTGGAAAGAAGCCACCTGTATTAATTTCATCTCTACTGTGCAGATTTCTCTTGTCTCACAGGGCTGGGAGTCTGAGAGACACAAAATAGGTGCCATGATTTGTACAGACATAGTTTAAACCTGAGGAAGAAACACACCTTCGACACCCTGTAGCTTCAAAAGCAATGAAAGGAAACGTGACACATCCTGTTTCCACAAACACTTTTCCAGTAACTCTGAAGAAAATCTTCAAACTTTTAAGGGTTTGCAAAGTCACTTACCTTCAGTCATAGCTTTCCTGTTTTCCTCTGAGGTCAAACAGATTTATGTGTGAAAGGACAAGCTGCACTTGACAGAGTGAAGGCATCTGCCACGTCTTGTTTAGACCAGTTCTGTGAAACTAAAGCCTGAGCCTCTGCTTTTTTCTTGTATTTTCAAACTCAATAAAAATACAAAGATTTGAAGAGCAGAATTGGTGGCATATCTTAAATGCTTCTTCAAAGGCTGATTTACTTCAGTGTTTTCTTATGACTAAAGTAGGATACTTGGTGAAATAATAAAGAAAATGTCCACAAAGCAAATGAGAACACTGGAAAACCTGAAGTCAAGCAAGTTAATCTGAGTGTTAAGAATGTCCATGGAACAGCCAAGCTCAGACCTGTCTGGTATCTGTCCCAAAGACAAAACCTTCATTCAAGGACTTTGTCCTCCCACCTTACAAATTCTTCTCCATGGCAACTAAATTCTAATTGAGGCAGATGGGAGCAAGCTCTGACACATAAGTAAGGTCCCAATCCATGGTCACCATCCTTCTGGAACAAGCAAAGGCTACATGACTATAGGTAACAGACATTCATACAATAATAAAATCATTTAGGTTGGAAAAGGCCCTTAAGATCATCAAGTTTGTTAATCTAACACTGCCAAGTCCACCACTAAACCATGTTCCTAAGCACCACGTCTACGTATCTTTCAAACACCTCCAGGGATGGTGACTCAATGACTTCCCTGGGCAGCCTGTTCCAATGCTTAACAACCCCTTCAGTTAAGAATTTTTGCCTAATATCACACCTAAACCTCTCTTGGCACAACTTGAAGCTGTTTCCTCTTCTTCTACCACTTGTCATTTGGAAGAAGTGACCAGCACCCACCTCACTACAACCTCCTGTCAGGTAGCTGTAGAAAGAAGTTGTCTGGAACAGGCTGCCCAGGGAAGTGATGGAGCCACCATCCCTGAAGGTATTCGATAGATGTGTAGTGACATGGTTTAGTGGTGGACTTGGCAGTGTTACATCAGTGGTTGGACTAGATGATCTTAAGGGTCCTTTCCAACCAAAACAATGCTGTATGTTTCTATGAATCTTATGGCACGACCATTTTTCTATCCATCTAATTGGACACCCAGTGACACCGTAATGTCCTCTTTTGGATACACCACACAGGAAATGTTGGCAGAAGAACCTGTTCAGGCCTGGTACATAGGAAACCTGCAGCTGTTTGACTCTGTGCCCAAGGTTTTGCTGCAAGCTGTTATAGCCATGCAGGGCTGTGTGACCCTGCTCTGTGCTGCAATCAGACAAGTGAAGCCCAGGAGAGCAACCCAGCTACGTTTCCCCAAAGCTGCCCCTGAACACAGGGCAAGAAGGTGCCTTTTGGGTCATTTGGGCTTGTCCTGGAGCCCAGTTCTGGGAGTTACCAGGAGGCAGAGGAGGGAAAATGATGTTTTTCCAAGCAAGCTCCCCTGTGGGCCCTTTGCAGGCTATCCTCACCTGTCCCCAGAGCCTCTTGAGTAGCAGATGGCCACCTGCCAGCTCCTCACATCCTGACCCACTTTTCCTGAGAACTCAGCAAGTCAGAGTTTCACAGACAAGAGGAAATCCCTAAACAGCAGGCAGCCCAGAGTGGAAAGTGTTTTTTTTTTGGAGGTTCTTTGGTTTGTTGCTTTGTTTTGTTTTGTTTTTCCCCAGCTTCCCAGTGAATGCACTTGACAGCTCAATCACCCTGTCAGTGCAGAATCCCAGCGGAGGCTGGAGCTGGGAGGGCTCTTCCTGCCTGGGGGAGGCTTCAGGATTTACCAGTCGTCCCCCCTCAGTCCCTGTCCCTGGCTGTGTCCCACTGGAGGCCATGTGCAGTGGCAAGCTGCAGACAGGTTTGCTGGTGGCCAGCTACTTCATCTACCTGCTGGTGGGTGCTGCTGTCTTCCAGGCACTGGAGAGGACCGCTGAGAAGCAGGAGAAACTGGCAGCTGCCCAGATGAAGGAGGCTTTTCTGCAGAACTTCACCCACCTCACAGTGGCAGAGATGGAGCAGTTTATGAAGGTAAGTGCCAGCCCTGCAGAAGCCTTTCTCCTCCTGTTTTGCCATCAGATGTTTCCTTCTCTGCCTTGCTACAGGGGGAACTTCCACTGTCCAAACTATCCAAATGAACTATGGTTTTAGCAAACCTCAAGCCCGCTCTCTGGTCTGAGCAGGCAGGTTACACTGATGGTAAATACAACCCTTATAACTTGGCAACACCTTGTCTGTTCTCTATTATCAGCCCCCATCCTGCAATGTCCCAATTCTTGGGGTTCTTGCCTCCTGTTGGTTCAGGTTTTGGTGGGGCTGTGCTCATTGCAGTGAGTGGCGTGGCAGGAAAAAGGAGGCTGTCTGAAATTAATGGGCATGGTTGCCACTCACAGCAGTGTTGCAGCACAAAGGAACAAGATGGCATGTCTAAAATGATCTGTTGAGCAAATAAAAGAAGTCTGTATCACTACAAGGAAGGTGGAAGAGTCAGGATTTACTCTGTAAAGGTGCTGCAGAAGCTAAATGGGTAGCCTGGCCAAAGGAAAGCTGCTTCTGGTTGTGGCTCAGTAATGTGAGAAGGTTCTCTCCTTCAGTATTTCCTAGCTCTGTCTGCTACAATGCAGAAGAAAACAGGGAGTGCAAACAGCCTTGCTGTAAGCATTTCCACATGGGAAACTAGTGGAGCTCTTAATGGGCCAGTCTGCAGGATTAAGAGTAAGGGAAGGAGGGGAAGAACTGGTATTTCTAGTAGCACAACCAGCAATCCAGCCCCCAGTCCACACGTGCTTGCACCCTCTTCACCTTGGATTGTTTTTCTGGGGGCATGGGAGGAGAAAAACAAAGATAAACTTTTCAAGACAGTGAAATCTTTGTGCAAGGGCTGTGGGATGATTTCTGTTTGCCTTGATTTTCTGGGACACCAACAAAAAATACAGTGAGGAAGGAAGCAAGATGGGGCAGATTTTTCTGGTGCAGTTTATTCCAGTTTTTGTCTTGCCTCTGGCAGGGCTCAGCCCTGGGTTTTATCTAGGCTGTTTCTGTACAAGTCAACCTGCTTTCCAGATGTCTGGTCCAATGTTCTCTGTTTGCTGAAGACAGGGACTGCTGGATACTGTTTGGGGTTTTTAATTATTGTTTTAATGTTAAACGAAACAAAAACAAATAAAGAAACAAAAACAGCACTGAGATTTAACACCAAGCAAGAAGGGAAGAGTCTAACATAATCCAGGATAGATCTGGAGGGGCTTGGGAGAAACATCTAGTCAAATCCCCTGTGGCAAGGCAGTCTCAACTCAACCTGAACCACCTCTGACAGATGCTCATCTAACCTCATCTCAAAGGCCACGTTGGAAATGTATGCTTGTGTTTGGAGAACAGTGTTTATGTCAGGCTGAATTCTGACTGTGGTTTCACCAAAAGTAACACTTTGTGAATTAAAGGACTTTCTCTGACTTAAGTGATAGAATCCCAGACTGGTTTGGATTGGAAGGGACTCTAAAGATCATCTAGTTCCATTTCCCCTGCACGGGCAAGGACCCCTCCCACTAGACCAGGTTGCTCCAAGCCCCATCCAACCTGCCCTTCAACACTTCCAGGGATGAGGCAGTCCCAGCTTCCCTGGGCAACCTGGGCCAGGGTCTCCCCACCCTCACACTGAAGAATTTCTTCCTAATATCTACCCTAAATCTCCCCTCTTTCAGTTTGAAACTATTCCCCCTTGTCCTATCACTCTCTGTGACACTAATCAGAGAACAGCCTTAAAATGAAATTCTGTGTGTGACACGTACCCTGCTAGAACTCACTGATGCCCTCCTGGGAGGGACCAGAGTCACTGCTCAGTGCTCCTGCATGCAGGTGGGCAATCAATGCACCCAGCACAGGGAATGAACAGGAGGAGTTAGAGGTCTGTGGGTGCTCTAAGGATTATGATCTGGTGGCAATAACAGAGAGATGGTGGGACAGCTCAGATGACTGGAATGTGGCCATGGATGGCTGTGTCCTTTTTAGGAAAGACAGGTCAGTGAAGCGAGGAGGTGGAGTTGCTCTTTATGTGAGAGAGCAACTGGAATGTATTGAGTTCTGTCCAGGAGCTGATGAGGAGCAATGGAAAGTCTGTGGGTAAGAATTAAGGGGCAGGCTGGTATGGGGGATACAGCTGTAGGGGTCTCTTACAGACCTCCTGATCAGGATAAGAGAGTTGATGAGACTTTCTACAGGCAGCTGAAAGCAGCCTCACAGCTACAGGCCTTGGTCCTCATGAGGGATTTTAACTACCCAGATAATTGCTGGAAGGCCTCCAGAGCCACCATTCCCAGGCTAGGAGGTTCCTCCAGTGCATCGATGATAACTTCTTGATACAAATGGTGGACACACCAACTAGGAGAGGAGCTGCTGGATCTTTTACTCACCAACAAGGAGGGTCTTGTTGAAGCAGTGATGGCCAATGGCAGCCTTGGATGCAGTGACCATGAGATAGTGGAGTGTAGGATCCTGTGTGGGAGGAACAGGATACCTAGCAGGACCAGAACCCTGGACTTCTTCAGGGCCAACTCTGGCCTCTTCAATCAATTATTAAGAGAAGTCCCATGGGACAGGGTGCTAGATGGTAAAGGGGCTCAAGGTCAACATTCAAGGAAGCTTCTTGCAAGCTCAGGATCAGAGCATCCCAATGGGTAGGAAATCAAGTAAGGGAGCCAGGGGAACCTGCATGGTTAAACAAGGAACTGCTGGGCAAACTCAGATGGAAAAAGAGAATCTATGGATCATGAAAGAAGGCAGAGGTGCTGAATGCCTTCTTTGCCTCTGTCTTCACTCCTGCAGGGTCTCCCTATGAGCCCCAGATTCATATAGCCCCAGAAGAAGTCAAGATAGAGGAAGAGTTTGACATGGTAGATGAGGATTGGGTTAGGGATCAGTTGAGTAATCTGGACATCCATAAATCAATGGGTCCAGATGGAATGCACCCAAGGGTGCTGAGGGAGCTGGCGGAGGTCATTGCTAGGCCACTCTCCATCATCTTCAGTAAGTCATGGGCAACAGGTGAGGTGCCTGAGGACTGGAGGATAGCAAATGTCACTCCAGTCTACAAGAAGGGCAAGAAGGAGGACCCGGGTAACTATAGACCGGTCAGCCTCACCTCCATCCCTGGAAAGGTGATGGAACAACTTGTTCTTGTCACTATCTCCAGGCACATCAAGGACATGGGGGTCATCAAGAGCAGTCAGCATGGTTTTATCAAGGGTAAATCATGTTTGACTAACCTCATAGCCTTCTATGAGGAAATTACTAGGTGGATAGATGATGGTAGAGCGGTAGATGTGGTTTATCTTGATTTCAGTAAAGCATTTGACACCGTCTCCCACAGCATCCTTGTAGAAAAGTTGATCAGGTATGGGTTTGGTGATCAGGAAGTGAGGTGGATTAGGAACTGGTTGAAAGGAAGGAGTCAGAGAGTTGTAGTCAATGGGGCAGAATCTGGTTGGAGGTGTGTGACTAGTGGAGTCCCACAGGGGTCGGTACTGGGACCGGTGTTGTTCAACATCTTCATCAACGACCTGGATGAGGGTATAGAATGTACCCTCAGCAAGTTTGCTGATGACACTAAGCTGGGAGGAGTGGCTGACACACCAGAAGGCTGTGCTGCCATTCAGAGAGACTTAGATAGGTTGGAGAGTTGGGCGGGGAGAAACATGATGAAATTCAACAAGGGGAAGTGCAGAGTTTTACATTTGGGGAAGAACAACACCATGTCCCAGTACAGGTTGGGGGCTGAACTGCTGGAGAGCAGTGTAGGTGAAAGAGACCTGGGGGTCCTGGTAGACAGGAGGATGACCATGAGCCAGCAATGTGCCCTTGTGGCCAAGAAGGCCAATGGCATCCTGGGGTGCATTAGAAAGGGGGTGGTTAGTAGGTCAAGAGAGGTTCTCCTCCCCCTCTATTCTGCATTGGTGAGGCTACATCTGGAATATTGTGTCCAGTTCTGGGGCCCATAGTTCCATAAGGACAGGAAACTGCTTGAAAGAGTCTAGCACAGAGCCACAAAGATGAAAAGGGGAGTGGAACATCTCCCTTATGAGGAAAGGCTGAGGGAGCTGGGTCTCTAGCTTGGAGGAGATTGAGGGGCAACCTCATCCATGGTTACAAACACGTTCAGGGCAGTGTCAGAAGGACAGAGCCAGGCTTTTTTCAGTGATGACCAGTGATAGGACAAGGGGCAATGGATGCAAACTGAAGCATAGGAGGTTCCACGTAAACATCAGAAAAAGCTTCTTTCCTGTGAGAGTGACAGAGCCCTGGGACAGGATGCTCTCAAAACCCACCTGGACACGTTCCTGTGTGATGTACTCTAGGTGGTCATGCTCTGGCAGGAGGGTTGGACTAGGTGATCTTTTGAGATCCCTTCCAACCCCTAGGATTCTGTGATTCTGTGATTAGATCCTGGATCCACCACTGATGTCTCAAGAGCAAACTCCAACCCAGCAACCAGCCACCCCACCAACGAGGGGTTGCCTTGCTCTGCCACGTCCTGGTCATTTATGGGATAATTTTTCCAACATACTTAGCTTAAAAGAATCTGTGTCCTTGATAATGCTAAAAGAAACAAGTTCCCCTGACACCCACAAGAGCATGAACACAGCAAAATACTAACACTCAAACCCACCAGCTGGCTGCTACGCAACTTTGGAGGTAAAGGTGTGAACAGTGTTGGTATCACTGGGGATAGGTGAGTGGGATCACAGAAAAGGAGCAGCAATTGGCTAAATCTGTAGCATTCCT